CAGTGACCTAATAGTCCAGTAAAATACTAGACTAGTAGACTAGTAGACTAATAATCCACTAATCTATACTCAGAATTTGCTGTTCTCAAATGTCCGCGGGACATTAAAATCCTCGTCCACTTGACAACAACACAGTCGATTTGCCCGACGGCGTAAAAGGTCCAACAGCCGCAAACTATCCCGCGCGGAGGCCGTTAAAAACGAAAGAAAGCTTCGACCCCGTTGAAATACGGGCCATGAATTTCGCGAGCGTACCGCGGGACGTTTACGCCGTTGCCGGTTCCCCGGGAACATAAATCGCCCGGACGATCGACAACCTATTTTCCCGTGCAAAGAATTCGAGGCCGGTGTTCAAAGTAACGGGAAGATTGCGGGAAATATTATTGCATAATATCGCCGCGCGAACGACCGCCCAGCGTGACCGTAAATCTGCGGACAGCCTTACGGAACCGAACGAAATTGGAGCAACGATCAAACGTTCGATCAAACATATCGTTAACCGGGCTGCAATTTGAATTTCGAAGAATTATTTTTATCGTTGCGCACTTCGAACCGGGGGCAACGTTATTAACGTTCATTTTATCACGCCGCGCCGCGTTCCCTAGAGCGTCGGTAGTATCTTGATTAACCCTGTGCACTGTAATTGTTTCTCTAGCTTGTTCTCGGGCAGCTTTCGTTTTGTTGTCGGGTATCACTGAAGTTACGAGATGATCATGGAAAATGTTAAAATTCCAACGTTCTTCCTGTTAACCCTTTCGCGACGGGTGCCGCCTATGGCAGTCTCTTGTTGGCGAATCATAATTATATTGTAGTAGAATATTTAGCGTAGATCAAAGTATTGTAGGATGACTGGTTTGTTGTGCGTGCGTAAGGGCGACCAGTAACATTCACTGCTTGACCAGCTTCATTTTGAAAAGGAATGGTCCAATGATGCCTCCAGCCCAAAATCCGTACCGAACAGTGACACGTTGATGATGCGTTTCTTTCGACAATCACATGTGTGTTCTCTGAACCTCAAATGCAATTTTGACGATTAACACTAGGTTTACGGGCATTTATTGTACACATTCTATTATTCCTAAAAGAATTGATGCTTATTTAGATTGTGGAAACTGGAGATTCGATAGTAGGTAATCGGAGTACACATCAGTGTGATCGCATCAAACAAAACCGGCGTGAACATTCACAAAATAATATTTCTAAAATCCAATATGCGTCGATTCGACGCGTCCCGTAAACCTAGTGTTAAAGCCATCAAGCTGTGCTTCATCGCAGAAAATGATTTTCGAAAAATCGGCATCCATTTGCTTTCAATACGTTGTTCTATCGTGTAACGCTCCATTTTTACCAACCCTAAACTATCAACTACCAAATAATCCTTTCAATAGGGTTGTAAACACTACTGCACGAATGGCGGCAAATTCGAATCTTTCCCGAATCTCGGGACACCCTTTACAACCCGGGGAACAGAGGGTCCCGGGAATGAAATCGCGACCGGTCGCTTCCGTTCGTTTTTCCCCGGCGGTCTCCCTTTTATCGCGAGGCTCGCGCTCGGCGCTGCGTTTTTTAGCTCGTTCGCCCGTGTTCCCCGTGTACCAAATAATTTATGCCCTTTTGTTTCACCCTCGGCGTCGCCGGCCGTTCATTTCCAGGTTATTTTATTATACTCTAAATTCTCCGGCGCTCGCAAACAGCTTCCTGCGCGTGTCAAAGGCGACGCTGTTATTCTTATTGTTGTAATTACCGCGGCGACCGCCGGTCCCCTGGCACACGCGCCGCGTTTTAACGTGGCGCGTCCCCCCGCGGGTCCCTCGGGCGAACTCGTTCACGGTTCACGTGGCGGGCGCACCGAAGATCTCCCTTTCGGAGGTTAGCTTCGATGCCGGTTTCAACTTCCGTCGAGCTGCTGTCGATTTATCGTTGCGCTCGCCCCTTGCGCACCTGGGATTCGTGTGTTCGCCAGTATCGATATTCATCTTCGCCTGATGGAACGTTCGTGATACTTGTAATTAATGTCGGCGAGAATCGTACGAGAGGTGGGTTTAATTAGTTGAGATTTGATTGGGGAATCTATTAAATGTAACGAGAATCTGAAGGTTTTTCTGCGATCCTTCTCTATGCGTTTTTTTGATGTATATGAATTCCATCGATGCTGTTGTTTCTCGAATCACGAAAGCGACTTTGAACCAGTTCATCGCAAGAAGATAAAAATCATGAAATCAACCATAGGAAACATCGAAAAATTCAATCGAGGAAGAGTAATGAAACTAAGGAAATGATTTTAACCGATTGCGAACGGATGTTGGCATTTCATCGAGATGAAATGTTACACAAATATTAGAATTAATTAACAATGATTTCGTATTGTAGCTCTCAACTTACGCTATCGTCCGTGTACCTACACAACTAAATACTCGGACCATATACCAATTTTCTTCTTCGAATTATTTCCAAGTAATTTAACCCATTGCGAACGGATGTCGGCATTCAGATGAAATCTTCAAATTTGCAAGACTGGGTCGTGGACAAATGATCTAATCAATCGAACAGCAAGAGATCAGCGAATAGTTTCCTTTTTTTCTATTAATTAAACAACTGATATATAATTTAGCTTCATATGTTGAAGGTTCTCAATTGACTTTTCAATCTTTCCAATAAAAATGATAAAATCAACCATAGGAAACATCCGAGGAATCTTCAAATTTGCAAGACTGAGTCGTGGACAAATGATCTAATTAGTCGAACAGCAAGGGATCAGTAGTTTCCTTTTTTTCTATTAATTAAGCAATTGACACGTAGTTCAGTTTCACGTGTTGAAGGTTGTATGTTCAGAATCTTCGTATGCAAAGGGTTAACCCTTTGCACTTGATTTAATTAAATTAATTTAATTCTTTGGACGTCGTCATTTCGATCGGAATGCTCGTATTTGGAAGACTAACTCGCGAACAAATGATCTAATTAGTCGAACAGCAAAAGATCAGTGGTTTCTCTATTAATTAAGCGATTGATGTATCAATAAAAACATCAACAAAAAATAACAGATTAATTTTTAGTATTACAATCGTTATCAAACAAGTGATTCAAACGGAATAATTCTCTTTCAGCCTGCTCGATCAGGTTGTACATTCGTCGCGAACACCATCGAATTCCCCCGCAACGCGTCTAGTTAACGGGGGAAAAAGGAGAGCGCGGAATTGGCCGGGTCGCTCGGTTCGCGCCGAAGAAGCTCGCGCGTAAATACACGGGGCTCGTTCTCGCGCGGATCGGAATTTTATTCGCTTAAAAAGCGAGGTAGCTCGTTACGGTAACTGCGATGTCGCTCCCGCGAGACGGACGTACGGACGAGCTTCCCTCGTTTTTCGGCCCGCCGAACGTCCGGGGTGGTAAAGTATAATATAAATAAAAGTAACGAGCGTCGGTGCACGCCGCAGAAATTAGAACGCGGCGTGTGTGCGCGCCAGATTAACCCTTTGCGCTCCTGTGTCGAATGTGACTCGACAGTAGATTTATTCAGAGGTGTGACGTTTTTTAACCCTTTGCGCTCGTGCGTTGAATGTGACTCGACAGTAGATTTATTCAGAGGTGTGACGTTTTTTAGCTCTTTGTTTTTCTCTTGTGTCGAATGTGACTCGACAGTAGGTTTATTTGAAACTGTGACGTTTTTTAGCTCTTTGTTTTTCTCTTGTGTCGAATGTTACTCGACAGTAGACTTATTTAGAAGTGTGACGTTTTTTAACCTTTTGCGTTCTTGTGTCGAATGTGACTCGACAGTAGATTTATTCAGAAGTGTGACGTTTTTTAACCCTTTGTGCTGCTGTGTCGAATGTGCCTCGATATTTGCTTAGACATTCTTAACTCTAGATTTACTGACATTTACTGTGCAGTTTGTTCTATTGCCTTTAGAAAAATCGTTCATTTAGATCTTGGAAATTAGAAGTTTAAGAGTAGACAATTAGGATACATGTTTGCATAACTGCGTTAATAAAAATTCACCCAAACATTTAGCAAATAATGCTTATAACATTCAATATGATTCAAATTGACTCGTTTCGTGAATCTAGTGTTAAAATAGATTACCCTATTATATTATTTTCAATATTATTAGTAAGCAGAATCATTTACAATGCTCTCTACAGATGAACTATTTCTTCAAATGCTTATAAAATATCTTAATAACACAGAGTTATCGAGAAAAAGATGCAAAAGAAATTTCCTGATTTCTGTTTTTGGAATTATTACAAATATAACAGATGTTTCTCTGAGAAATTATTAAAGGAATCGATTCAGCTGTACGCAAACTAAATTGTAAATCAATTAAAGTCTCCATAGATGCACCCTTTGAGTTTCTATAAAGGAATTTGAAAAACCTGCTGGTTTCAGTAAAAATATATCTTTATTCCGGTTTCTGAAATAACTAACGCTTTGAATAATTACCGACTGTCTAGGAATTCTATAGAATTGTTTATAGCCACAGAATTAACGGCAGATTTACGGGTAATAATTTATCGCTATATTTTCGAAACTCTAATTTCCATATTCACGCGAACGAATGCTTATAGTTTCAGGAGCGGCGCGTAAAATAATTATATCGAAAGTTTTCGAATCGGAAATGGATATTCAAATAGATAAAACGCGGGTTAACATAAAACCCGAGGCTGAAACTACTGAATAATTCTCTAAATGATAATTTATAGATTCACATATCGTTTCCTCCTTCGAACGCATTCGAACGGGAGTTAAAGCTACCGGACTGGCTGATAAACTTTATTTCGGAGAAGCAAATACAATTTTCCCCGTGTAATAAATATGTCTGCGAATTTCAATGCGACCCCTAAACTTTTACGGTCTAATATCCGAGAATTAATCACCGTTGGTAATAAAAGAGCTACTTGAAAATTTCGGTAAAATTGTTTCTTTTATTGCGCCGCGCGCACTCGTGGACAGTAAACCCGTAGGATCCGTAAATCACATTATAATCCTAAAATCGTGCATTTTTATAGGTTAGCCTGCAGTGGCCCGGAATAAAAGCGAGGGAGAATTGAAGATTTCTCGTGGAGGACACCGTAAGTGGCAAAACTAAACAAATTTCTATGATTCTGGTAGCTTCGTCTCTTTATTAGAGAGTTTTCTTTCTTTCGTTCGATATAACTCATCGAATTTGGCGTTCGTAACATTAACCCTTTGCACTGCAGAAGTTTTTTATCGGAAATGTTCAGTATTTTCTGATGAGATACTCACGACGTCTTCTTAGATTGAATTAACCCCTTGTCCTAGAACAATGAGCGAGACTCGCGGTGAAGATTTTCAACGGGATTCGACAAATATACGATATGTTCAACGCGTTAGAGTTGTCAACTACTGGTTTCGTGTTTTTTCGTCTTCTCCAGCACGGTTTCTTGGATTTCGGACTGATGGGATTAGGGTATTTGGCTAAAGTAAGGCAAGACGAAGGCTAGTAGCTGTTTCATTAGCGACCAAGCAGGATTAGAGTATGTTTCGATCGATTTCCATGGTTCTGGTAGCTTCAACTCTTGATTAGAGAGTTTTATTTCTTTCGTTTGATGTAATTCATCGAATTTGGCGTTCGTAACATTAACCCTTTGCACTGCAGAAGTTTTTTATCGGAAATGTTCAGTATTTTCTGATGAGATACTCACGACGTCTTCTTAGATTGAATTAACCCCTTGTCCTACAACGACGAGCGAGACTCGCCGTGAAGATTTTCAACGTGATTCGACAAATATACAGGGTGGAGATTATAAAGCGTTGCAGTAGAATATCTCCGAGAATATTGATTGTACGCAAAAATTTTTCAGACGAAAGTTGTTCAATACCGAGGGGGACATCGCGTGGTGGAACTTTTATTTTTCCTGGTGGACACTCCAAGGTTAGGTGAAGGTCAACATTCTTTTTTTAAATGGAACGACACGTTTTCTTATCCACCGTCAAATAGTGCGTTTCAAGACCAATTCAACGATCTATGACTTAAGGTCATTCAAGGTCAAACTTGCAGGGAAATTCGTTCATTAATTTTTTATTGTTCGAATGATTTAATTATTTGATTGACGTGAGATTGAATGCTGGATGAAAGGGAAATCATATATTAACTTTTTATTGTTCCAATCATTCAAATACTCGATTGACATTATTTTCTAAATAATATTAGACAAAAACTCAAATGCAATTTACTCTTCTCTACGCAGAATATGAAATGTTGATCTGAGATCAGTGACATGAGATTAAATGCTGGATAAAAGGGGAAACATTCAAACATTTTCTGAATACTGTGTAAGCGAATGACGATATATTTAACGATTACCATTGAAACGCAGGTACTTTTCCATCGTAGGAGCCTTTTTGTAATTACACTCGACATGGTTTATAAAGAATATATAAAAAGTACAGTACGGTTCGTTTCGATGATCTCTGGCTCCGCGATTTTAATTTCGTCGAGGGTGCTTCCGCGTTTTCTGATTATAATCAGCAGTGTACTCGGGCTGGAGATACTTTCGTCGCGAATTATTTTAAATAGCAAGGTTCTGGATCCGTTCCGAGGAGCCAGCAGCCAAATAGAGATCTGTAAATTGTTTTTCGCCGGCGGGAATTAGAATTTCATTGCGCCGTTGCCTAGCGCCACGCTTATACTGCTGGTAATTAAACTTTTTGCCATGGAATTTTGGAACGCTTCTCGCTCGCCGGAACTATTAGTGAAATTTACTACTTTATTATTAGTTTTGTACAGACATCGAGAGTCCGTTCATTGAAATTTTGATTCGCTTGGAATTTAGTTTGTGAATTATTGGGTATAATCATTTTGTTGGAAAGTGGGTATTTCATGTTTTATAGGTAGAATATTTTGTGTCGCAAATATATTAGTATACAATAATGTTTAGAGTCATGATTATTAGTATGTAATACTTAGTGTTACAATATATTAGTATACAATAATATTTAGTCTCATAATTATTAGTATATAATAAGTAATACTAATAATATTTAGTGTCACAAATATCAGTGTGTAATACTTAGTATCACAATATGTTGTTATACAATAACATTTAGTGTCACAATTATTAGTATATAACACTTAGTAACACAATATTTTGTTATACAATAACATTTAGTGTCACAATTATTAGTATATAATACTTAGTGTCACAATTATTAGTATATAATACTTAGTGTCACAATTATTAGTATATAATACTCAGTGCCACAATATATTATACAAATAACATTCAGTATCGCAATATGTTTACACCAATTTGTTTTCAAAGCGGATCTCGACAACGAGATGCTAAAAAAAAGAGAGAAGAAAAGCAATTTCCTCAAGTTTCCAGGAGAACGCGGTGAACTTCATAAAAGAATAGAATAATTAGTAGAAAAATCAATCCTAATTAGTTCCTACAAAGTATACAGAGTCTATAGCCCCCATTGTGCGACACTTTTTTTCCCATCAAAACTTCCGCTCCACTGAGCGCCTTATCTCAAACTTTTCACCGTGGTTTTCCTCGCTGGGCCAGAAAACGCTCGTGGAAAATTGCCCGAATAAAGTTTCTATTCACCGGCGCAGCGAGAACGACGCTTTGAGAGCTGCTTATCGATTGAGTAGCCGAGGATCTTCGCAGGGGATAAACGTGCAACGGTGAAAATCGTCGAGGGGACCGTCAGAAGCAAAACTGGTTCATATCGACGTAACGAGAAATCGTTTGTGCATCGAATCCCGGACGAAGATCGGAAAATATTGTTATTATCGGCAGACAAAGAAAGTTTTTTCTTTGTCAGTGAAGTCTGTTGTCTTGTTGTTCATTACTTCTTACGGTTTTCGTGATTTTCATTGGTTTTTATTGTTTTTTATTGTTATCGCGAACAAGAGGAAATCGAAGACGAGTAAAATGAGTATTTCAGAGTTGATCGAATAAGAATTTATTCGTTTGGAAATTATTTATTAATTCGTAATTACGAGATTGTGATTTATCAACACTTTGAAACGTTGTTACTGAGAATCTCGGTTCTAACATTTTACGATTCAGCAGCAATTCGTACCATGATTCCGAACTTCCAGCAATTTGACAGGGTTCCCGGTAATTTAGGGGTGCAGTAAAATGCTAATACACTTCTGTAGAGTTCGCGCAAGACTATAATTCTCGGTGGAAGGGACAGGAACGAGTCTTCGGGGAACAACCGGCAGGAATTGATTACTTTTCACATAAGAATAACAGTACAAAGAGAGACACAAACCTTTAATCCTTTGCAGTCGAGTTACTAATAGATGCTTCTTAATTAGTCGAAGGAAGTGTAATTTGTTGGATGATTGACGTTGAGTAAACATACTTAATTTGTGGTTGAGAGATGACTGTCAGTCGTCCATTTGATTTGATAGAGTAGACTTATAAAGTTTAATATTTAATATTTAATATTTAATATCTAATATTCAGTACTTAATATTTACTATTTAGTATTCAATATTCAATATTCAATATTCAATATTCAATATTTAATATTTAATATCTAATATTCAATATTTAATATTTAGTATTTAATATTTAATATTTAATATCTAATATTCAGTACTTAATATTTACTATTCAGTATTCAATATTCAATATTCAATATTCAATATTTAATATTTAATATCTAATATTCAATATTTAATATTTAATATCTAATATACAATATTTAATATTTAATATCTAATATGCAATATTTAATACTTCATATTTAATATTTAATATGAAACTTCACACAATCCATTCAATTCCACCGAAACAAAAAGCAACTCCAGCCAAAATCCACACACGAGTAATCCTCAAGTTACGTCCAAAACCCATCGCCACGTCTCACCAGTGAATCCCGAGCGTGTCCGTCTCAAAACCGTCGAGTGCAAAGGCCTAATAGATCCATCGCCAGTGAAAGGGGAGAAACCAGAAGAATCTCCGATGGAGACGATAAATCAAAGGGGGAGAAATGAAGACAACGCAGGGAGGTCGCTCGATATTGCTGGTACGGTGGCTGATGACTCGTCCAGAGAGAAAGAAAAAAATGATACGGTAACGGTATCTCGTGATTAACGTGATAGATCACGTTGCCGCTATCAATCACCGCTAGCCCAGGTGCCGCGCGAGGGAAAGTAACCGGCGTAGAAGAGGGACGAGCTGTTTTTTCCCGGCTAATGTCCGTCTGTTCCTCTCTGATCCTCTACTAAGAGAGAAAAGGGTGTTTCCCGGGCGGGGAATTAAATTGATCTTGTCCCGTGGCGGTTAAAAACGGCGCGCCGGAATGAAATATAAGACGAAGATCGGCTGGCTAGGCGGGTTCACGGCTAGATAACCGGTGTACCCTAAAATGATGAGCTTTATCTTCGAGCGAAGTGGCTTCTAACTAGCGTCGAGTAACTCCGCGGCGAGGGAGGATCCTCCGGGGATTTGCGGCCGCTCATTGTCTACTCGGCCGGGCCCTCTGTTCACCGTTTTTGCGTCTGGCAATGATTTAGCGGTTCAGTTTTACGGGCACGGAATAATATTCTGCTGGAGTCGCGTTAACCCCTTGTCCTACAACGACGAGCGAGACTCGCGGTGAAGATTTTCAACGTGATTCGACAAATATACGACATGTCCAACGTGTTAGAGTTGTCAACTACTGGTTCCGTGTTTTTTCGTCTTCTCCAGCATGGTTTCCTGGATTTCGGACTGATGGGATTAGGGTATTTGGCTAAAGTAAGGCAAGACGAAGGCTAGTAGCTGTTTCATTAGCGACCGAGCAGGATTAGAGTATGTTTCGATCGATTTCTATGGTTCTGGTAGCTTCAACTCTTGATTACAGAGTTTTCTTTCTTTCGTTTGATGTAATTCATCGAATTTGGCGTTCGTAACATTAACCCTTTGCACTACAGAAGTTTTTTATCGGAAATGTTCAGTATTTTCTGATGAGATACACACGACGTCTTCATAGATTGAATTAACCCCTTGTCCTAGAACAACGAGCGAGACTCGCGGAGAAGATTTTCAACGTGATTCGAGAAATATACAGGGTGGAGATTATAAAGCGTTGCAGTAGAATATCT